TTTAATAAATACTATGTGTATGTTACAATGTAGAGGTCTTCGACTTATAATAAAGATGTTTAATTCATATTTTCCTTCATGTATCTAATCTATCGCGATGATAAGAATAGTGATTTTTAAATGCAAATACAGTATATGGATCACGGTCCATCACGGGCTACATCACTGTTGATTAAAAAAGCGAGTATAGGAAGCCCTGGTAGCAGATTTTGCATACATAATCGCTTGTGTATTTTCGGGATTATGTATATATGATCGAGAATTTTATACAATTTTTTTTGGCAAAGTGAATTCTTTGTGAACCGAGTTCACGAAGTGATTGATGATTTTTTTCAAGTAATCATGTAATTTTTATTAACTTAAGCTTTTGAATATTTTACTATCTTATATAAAACAGTGACAAACACACAGGCCAAAAAAGGCGAATCCAAAGATTCATCTAAAATCGATTTATTAGAAGAATAGAATTGAGTTCGGGGCTGAGAACGTAAGTTAAGACAGGTCATAGAAGAGAACACTGATCTCAAAACCAGGTTGGAAGAGTTAGAGAAAAAAAAAACGGATACTGTAAACCTTATTGCTGAAAAGGTTGAGTTTAAAGACAGAGTTATCAAATTAGAACAAAAACAGATCCAGGTTATTACTAACGAACGGGACGTGACTTATATAACCCCGAATAAATCAAAATTTCAACCCAGCAATACTAACTTTACACTTTTGTATGAAAAACTTTGTGATGCTATAATTCTTGCTGATTGTAAAACCCAAGAAGCTATCGCGTGTTATTGCCTTTTGAAAAACGACCTACAAAGAGCTCGGGATCAAAAATATCATGAATATGTTCAGGATCTCTAGGGCTCTTCGGTTTTAAGCCATGTAAAATACACTCAATATTTAGTTTTTCGCTCTTTTCCAGAACGATACGTACTATTGTAAACTTATTTTCACATCCGAATAATTGAAGTTGCATACATATAATAGAATGTGAATTTATGCAGAAAATAAAGCCAATAATTCCACTGCCAATGAGAATGTATTCTACTGAAATACTAGTTGACACTCTGTCCGATATAAACGATCTATTAAAATATTAGAATAAATAAGGACCATGAGACAAATAATAAGCATAATGGTCCAGGCAGAACACCAAACTCTCCACGTTCGAAAGTTTTTACTTCGTACTTTAATAATTTTTGTGACACTTCCAATGCAGCCATTATCTCTAAAATTTTCCAGAGAGTAAAATAACGTCATCGCTAATTTTTGAATCATATTTAATTTTTTTTGTGTCAACTCCCTTTGAACTCCAATCAGAAACGAGACTTTGTATGCTTAAAAGAAGAATGACTCCGCACAAAAGTCCTGTCATGGAATTTAATAAAGTGCTTAAAATCTCGGATGACTGTAAAATGAGAAAACAGCTCCAAAAACAACAGAAAGAAATGAGATCACAGAAGCCACCAATAGTTGTGCTGTTTCCCTTTTTCGAATGCTCGTGTTTTCGTTTGTGGGCATTTCTAATAATTTCAGGTCATAATTCTCTCTTTGGTTTTCCTTCCGCATTTACACCATATTTCCGGTCATTTTAGAAAAACGATTATATTAGAGAAGATGAGAATATCGGGAAATTTGATATTGATTGATTCAATTGTTATTTTTTTTTAAAAAAAAAAAATGAATTATCGCGTATAATTGCGTTTAAATATCTTTCCGAAGGTTTATTCGTGATAAATCAATGCTATTATCCTATACAATAACAATTATGGATAGCATTATTTCTGAGAAAAAGTAAATTATTCCAGGTTCTATATTTGCAGCGAATAAACATCAGAACATCGCATAAATAAAGCATAATAATGGTATTTTTAAAGGAAAATTTTCTCAAAGTCATAGGCGATAGCAATAAAGTTATACGTTGTCAATCCTATTATTCTTTTTGTTCTTCATGTAATAATGATCCTCGTATAAGAACTAAGCAACATGTAAGAAAATAACAGATAATTGATAATAAAAATACTTATAGATATATAAACTGTTTTAAAAATATTACCCATATCGCTCTTCTTATCGATCTTCGAGCATCCTCATGGCGCGAGAAATATTTCCCAAAGGACCCTGCTAAATGTGTTACGCAACATAACAGTGCAATTTATTTGTTTCGTCCATATTTGTGATTAAAGTTTGGTACGATTTAACTCGAATCCGAAAATAGGACGTACATTAAATGAATTCGTGAAAATACTTCATATAGCATTAAACCTAAAAGAAAGAGAAAGCACTATTATAAAAGTTTTTTTTACAAGAAAGTAAATTCTACTTCTGGAATATGTACGCAGAAAATATAACGCGATTCATGAATAGCCGGTTCTTTTTACTATACTGTAGATAATCATCATAACTTTTAAATATACATACCTCGCGCAAATGTGACCAAAATATGTTCAATAATGCAAACTTTGTATTACAATTTCACATCACTTAAAAATCATGCACATCCGTTCACGAGTCTAAGTTACACCGCCATTATTAAAATCCGGTTTGTTGATCTAGAGGCGTAGGTGAGGAAAATAATTAGAACTTTTGTGGAGATGTGTTTTGCATATACTGTATTTATGTCCCTATATTGAAAGCGTTTAGTAAAACTATTAAAACTAAGAATCATCACCACAACAACAGGGCAATTTTTTTTGGCGAACAAAAATTTTTGATCCTATTAATTGTAATCCTAAATTTTCCATTATATACAATACAAGTTTGAGTTATTTAAAAATAGGAATCGGAAATCTTATATCTCGTCGCCTTCAAAGACAATTGCAAAGATAGCTACAATAATAATGACAGTATTTATAATAATAAACAAATAAACAAACAAAATTAAATAAATCGCAAAAATCAGAGAAGCATATAATCATAGTTTTATATAAATTTAAGTTGCAACCTATTTTAGAACAATTATGCATCATTGTTAACATATTTTCTCTTAAATATATCTTTTGAAAATGTTTGAGTACTTTTTGTATTTTGAATTAACTAACCAATTGGACAATGTGTTTTGTATGTATCTTACTATGGGCTTATCCACATGAAAAATTTTAAATACTTAAATACTTTTGCAGCACTGTATTACGCGCAGAGCATTTTTAATATGGTAACTATTGGATTTTTTTTTTTCCACATTCGTAAAGCGTACGTACAGTTACAGTTTCATTTTTTTCGAGCTGAATTCTCCATGTTATTATTAGTGACGTTAACCGCTCGGTTCAACTGAATTGGAATCAATAAAAATTTATATTGTGTAATAGTATGTTATTTTAATGCATACGTTTTTAATATCTTATATTATTATCAAATAATATTTTTCTTTTCACTTTGCATTTTTTTTGACAAAGGCTTTCAATTTGTAGCCTTTAATTGCTGTTTAAATTTTTATAATCCAGTATGGTATAAATAAAGTAAATACTGTATATTGCATAATTTTAACCTCCGTAAAAAAATATTTAAAATATTTACTTTTAGAATTTATAGAAAAGCATAATTTTTCTATATAAATATTGAATTTAACGAAGAAAAGAAAAAAAAAGAAAGTGATATAGTTAAATACAGTACTAATTTTTTTTATCTGGTTTAACTGATAAATTAATTGTTTATCGAAGTATTTGCGTTTATTATCTTTCATAAGTTGCAATGTTAAATCATCCAACCTAATTAAATATTAATTCCGTTATAAGAATATTAGCATAGCACATTTTATTATTATTATAATAACAGCTTTTTAAAATTGGTTTATGGTGTTGAAAATTCTAACCAAATCTTATTTTTAATCTTTTTCATAAATAATTTGATTTCTTGCAATTTAGAAATTTTTTCAATAATCAAAAATAAATATTTTTACAAAATTTTCAAAAAAAAAAAAACTTTAATTTTAAAATTCGATATATTTCAATAGATTACCTCTCTTCAATAAAAATTAAATGGTCTTGTTGATTTCAAGTAATAAAACATATTTGTAATAGTAGTCATAAAAAATTTGTTTAATTACAAAAATTTCGCTAAAATAAAAAATACAAATAATAAATTATTGTATATATATACAGTATATATTATTTTGATTTTCATAATTAATAATGAAAATTATATAAAATAACAAAAATCCCTTTTACTTACACTTGCATCTCAAAAAAATTACCATATAAAAAAATAAAAAATTTCTTGACAAAAAAACAACCAAAAAACCTAGAGGGTCTTTTCATTCTTCAAGAATTCTATAATCAACCAATTTACACTTTACTTGATTTTCTTGTTATTAATGTCAATAAATGCCAAAAATTTATTATTCACATTTATGTATCTCTTCAATCTGTCCTTTCAAATTTGACAATTCTTTTAAAACTTGACTTTTTTAGTTTATATTTAGGCAAATAATCATAAAAGTTTTAAAATAATCTTTGTATCTTTTGAAACCTATAAAAACTGGAAAATCATTATATCAATATTAAATTTTCCTTTCAGATTCTGTATTACTTGAGACCCTTAACTTATTCTTTAAATGGCAACATATATTTTATATTTTAAATAAAAACAAATTTAATATTTTAAAAGAGATACTAAAACAAAAACTCAATTATAATTTATATATTTCCTGGAACAAACTTGATATTAATATTAATGAGAAAGTTAAAACTTTTACTCTTAAACAAAAAACCAAAACCCTATACCCTTCTAAATATTTTAGCTTTTATTGAAAAAAATGATTAACAACAATAAAATAAAACTTAATTATACAAATAACATATTTCATGCAATATTTCAATTATTATTTAGATATTTATATTTTCTTAAAAAAAAATTAATTTATTAAAAGATTTTTGTTTATTTTTAAAATCTTTATTTAAAAAGTAAAAACTATATTAATATATATATATTGCTTTTTTTAAAACTAATATTAAATAGGAAATCAAAAAGTACAATATGAAATTTTTGTTAAAAATAAAAATATCAACTTAAATAACAAAATAATTAGTTTTTTTTTTTTGATCCCGCAATCAGGTTGGTGTCATTTATTTATTAAATTATAAAGAACCATTACATGCATAAGAATACATGCAAAGTACAAATTTTCCCAACTCAACTCAACCATCTTTAGCCAAAGCCTCTAGATACGATTTATGAATGTGATATATTGTTCCCCTAAAGAATGGGATTAAGATCCTAAATTTCCGATAGGATTAGCACCTGCAGATCATTTCCACAGTCATAACTATAAATCTAAATTGTATCACTCCTCTCTTGTAGAAACTACGCAAGGGGAAAAAGAAATAAAAAAGAAATTTTTTGACAAAGAGAAAAGAAAAAAAAGCTATCATCTATTCTAACTATCATTGAAAAGGTTATCTCAGTAAACTTAAAAACCCAAGTCCCTTATGGATTCCCACTTCTCACCACCTGTGGCCAGTTAGACTGTTTAATTTCCAATGGAATAGTTGATGTCCAAGAACGTTTAAGGGCACTTCCAGGAGAGTATTTCTTGAAACTTTACGCTTGAAGACTTCTAACCAGAAA